TTTTTTTTTTTTTTTTTTTTTTTTTTTTTTTTTTTTTTTTTTTTCCAAACAGGCCCAGGCTGAGGAATTCTGATGTGACCCTCAGCCAAAAATTGTTTGCATTGCAATTCTTTTTTTTTTCTTCTTCTTTTTTCCGGTTACAAAAAGGTCCACGGTATAGTAGAGGTTGGTGGCCAGGGCCCAGGAGGTGCCTGTAGTACTCATCCATTGGGAGGTCAGATCAATTGCATGGACCCAGGGGAAGTCACCTAGGATGGCACCATGGTACCATGACCTATGCTAATGCTCAGATTGCAAGTTGTGATTCGCGCCAACGCTTACCGGACTAACCCGAATGTCTTCGTGCACCCGGGCACAGGTGGTGTCCATGCATATGCAGTCATCCCCCATCTGTGCCTCATCCCGCAGACTCTATGCGCAGCAAACTGCCCTTCCACTAAGATGCAATATCCTGCCCTCCCCTATCCTAAATATGATGCCTTCCTACCCCAGGCTCCCCAAGAATCCGCAGTCCCAACGAATTCCCCCAATGAGAATTCCCACGGACCCCAACCGGGATCAAGCACCACCCGCAGGAATCGTGAGATACCTGTGGGACGAGAAGTACCCAGTACCTACCCCATACTAACACCCAGTCGGTGCGTAGGATTATGCCCCCCGAGATGGGCCCTACCGTAGTCTAAGCTCGCTCTGTGTGGACTCTCGTACGGTTGACAATAGTGACGGGAAACATACTAGCTGTACCCAGGCTCGACCATGACACCCCCATGGACTAGTACGTACTGGCGAGACTGACAGATTGGAGGGTCCAAGTGGCCATGCAGAGGTAACGGTTTCAATAGTTTTTACAGTTTCTGGTTATCAACAGCCTAGGCAGTAAACCCTCCCCCTAACCTACTCCAGACCGCCTAAGACCAACCACTCAAGCAGCCCTCCCCATGGCTCTATCCAGCATACTACAACCATGGACCTAAGCCCCTTGGGCAGTGCGCAGGCAGTGTCTGTATAAATCTTACCATGCGTCGTCCCAAGGGGTGTGTGTGAATGGCTTGTGCGTTATGAAAGCGCTTACCGATGTACCTGCACGAGGCAACGGAGTTTTGAACCCGCAACCTCATACCACAATGCGCATTTCCAACCGGTGCTCTAACCTATGAGCCAACGGCCATCCTTCTACACTACGTTTTTTCGTTTTTGTTTTCTTTTTTTTTGGTGCTGGGGCTGCCCAGACCCCGGCCTGGGGTTCATGCCCGGCCGGGCAATTGGGCGGCGCTCGGGCAAACAGCATAGTCTCATACTTCCAAAGGGCCATACAAGCGGGCCATTGTGTTCCTCAATGGATGAGATGAGGCAGGCAGAAAACACGGGATAGTCAAGCATAGCCAATTGGCCATCTTGTGACTGAATCCGCAGAGAACTCCATCCAGCTTCATTCACGATCTTCCCACTGTTGAAGTGCCTACTTTTCCAGTCTTTTCTCAGAGGGAAAGAGATGGTAATTTTCATGGCCCTCTTATCATTAGCATCATCATCATTACTATCATTATCTCACAGTCTTCATAAGAATCAGCAGAAGTTCATTATCATCATGATTATTATCATCATCATCATCATCATATGAGGGACGCTGAGCCCGGTTCTCAGCATGTCCGGTTCGGTCACTCCGGGTAGACTGTGAGGACCCTGGCCTCAATCTTCTTATTGGTAATAAAACCAAGGGTTGCTGTCGGGACGATGCTGGCCGGAGCTGGGTTGAGTCGTGTTGCCCTGTAACCTAGCAGGGTGGGGATATGAGGCCTGGGAGAGCTCGGCAGGGTACAAGACAGTGTTTTGGAGGGTTTTGTTAGGGATTCCAGGGTTCTGAGCAATCTAAGGACTTCTGTGGCTTGCCCTTTTGACTTAGTAACTGCTGCTTGAGTAGCCTAGCAATAGGTCAGCAGTTATCCAGGTCTTCCTAATTTTTCCTGAACTCCTTTAATAGTTCTCAGATTGTTCTTAGCCGAAGCCAGGTAATGGCCCTGGCATTTCAAATGACTTGTATGATTCTATATGGGACGCTGGGCCCGGTTCCCAGTATGTGCTGCTCCCCACGAATAGACTTGAAACGGTATTCACCAATTCGTGGTAGCTGAGGTAGATCCCAGGGCTCGATCCCTAGTTCCCCAACTTACCTGTGTACAAYACCTGCGTCAACTCGAAGAGTTGAACCTGCGACCTGTAGAACCACCAGTGGTAGGTAAGTCTGTCGTAGGTCTATAGGTAGCCAGGATTCGATCCATAGACCTATAGACTAGAAGGCTAGCTGCAGTCCTTCTAGAAGGTTGGCAAGTGGTCA